CTTTCTTCGCCAAATATTTGATCTTCTACCAAATTGACTATTATGATCGGTTTCTGTATCTCATTTTTCAGAAGGCTGTAGCATCTACATCTGCTTGCCTAGGCCCGTACTGGTCTAAGTCAGCTTGTCATGGTCGCGGTGGGTGCACTTCGCTGATCGTGCATCAGATCCCTTCGTCGCCGCCCATCATCATCTCATCAGGAAGGACGTTTGGTGAGGTTCGGCGGTGGAGACTGGCTCCCCTTTCGTGTCTGCCTGGAGGGCTGGGCTCGGCTGCTCCTGTTCTTCTCGAACTGGTAGGATCAGTTCAGAAGCCATGTGGCCTAACTTGGATGGACAGATTGCAGGTTGCTCCGGCCGGCCGAGGTTTCTTCGCTTTCGGGTTTCATTCTGTAATGCACAACAATCTTCATCCTTTTTACTTCAAAGCATTTTAATCGGAAGCTGCTTTTTTCACCACACTTCCATTTTTTCATTTATAAGCTGGTTTTCGAGACTACCAGTACGTCATTTGTATAAAATGTATTCAAGCTATTTCGTTTAGGGTGACAAGGGGACTGATAGTTGAACTTTTTCCACCTTACGCTTCCATCACATTTCACTTTGTCTTGCTTCCCCAAAAGGCATTCTCATCCAAGCCTCACTTAGTTCCTATCAGCACCCCCAGTGGGACTCGAACTATGACAGTGGAGCGCATAATTTCGATACATTAAATAATAAGCCACATTGCCTCTAGTGTCCATTGGCCAGAGGGCAGTTGTACATTTCAAGGAAGGCTAGGCATTTTTCAATATCACATTCTGTGGTGGGATTGTCAATGAAGCAAAGTTGCAATCGAGGACATTACTAATTTTTCGTTTATATGATCTAATGGCAGTCTCAAAAATCTGCTTGCATAGTTGCAATAGTCGATTTATATAACAAATACAATTTTGCCTTATTCGCTGTCCCGCCACAGAATGTGATCTTGGAAAATTCCCGATTTTCCTTGACATCCACATCTGCCTGTGATCCAAGAGCACTCGCGACATTGTGGCGTACTGCTTGTGTATCGAGATTATGCGCTGCATTGTGATAGTTTGAGTCCCACTGGTGGTGCTAATGAGACCAGTTCGAGCAGAATCGCAATTGCAGTCCACTCCTGCCTGGATGAGAATACTTCTTAGGAAGTTAGGCAATGTGAAATTCAAAGGAAGCGTAAGGTCTACTCAACTGATTGTAGGAAAATTCCACTATCAGTCCCATTATCACCTTAAATGAAACAGGAGAAAGACAGCTCATATGTTGAAAAGCCCACATGTTCCACTTAACACTGCACATGTTTTGAGTTCTTTTTCTCATTCTCTTCTTTTCTTCCTTTCCCTTTATGATCAAGTGTCACAGCCTTTGATTGTTTGCAATAAATTTCTGTCTCATTCATAGCTTGCTTGATTGAGTCTATTAAAAGGTGTATCCCACCTATAACTATGTAAGTCTTTGGGCTCTGCGCATTCACATGGACGTCAGGTCGTTTAACTTGGCTTGGCCAATCCCACCCAGCTTATTCATTACGTACATCCTTTATGCTTATTCTTGGCTTCACCTCTCACTCGCAACCACGTAATTGCGGTTGTATGTCCTCCATGCGACCATTCCTTTCAGCTAATTTGTGTTGTGCTCATTTCATGTGAGGCCGGTAGAAACAAGGCTTTGTATGACCGTTCCATCTAAAGACAGTTTTTTTATTCATATTGAGCCGCTGATGTATAGTCTTCATGATGTA